TCTTCATTAGTTCTTCAGGTGTTATTAATTCAGGGCAGTAATACGGTTGACAGACCAACACTACTTTATTGTTGCCTGGCCTTTAAAAAACTTTGTGTATTTGTTTAAATATGAAAATATGTTTTTATGTAAATATGAAAATCCACCAACGTGCATCTTAGATCACAGAACACAACAAATAACTTCATTTTTAAATGTCTAATTGATTTTTAAAAGTTGATATTAATATTGAGTAATGTTAAGTACTGCAATCACTGGTAGTTATAAAAACCTGTGTTCATTCTACCCAAAATGGTAAACAAAGCCCTAAAGTAAAAATTTAGATAGAAAGAAAAATCAAGTGAAGCTATTTGAGTGGCAATATTCTCTGCATTCTCTCTTTTATTTTACTTTCAGGTAAAACATATATTTTCAGACTCATAAAAAAGATGGGAAAATTGTGAGTTAAGTGAAAATCAGAAAAGGTAATGTGATGCCATTTTGTAACTCCTTTGGGCTACATCAAAAGGAAACTTAAACAGTTTGTGGTCAAATAAAGTTCCAGCATTAACTGTACAACCCAAGCAAATTTAACCAGAAATAAACCATACTTATCAAGTTTTTTTTAAATCCACAATAAAAACTTTCTACAGCCCAACACTGCACTTCACCAAAGCAAGATTTTCAGTTGCTTCAAACACTGAGATGCACAGTGTGAAAAAGCCACCTCCAGGTATCAACATAAGATTGAATTTGAATACCAGGTATCAGAAAAATTTGAAATGCTTAACAAAAGTTTATGTAACTTCAAATTCTGAGCAAAAGGGTTTATCTTTCTTTATCAGGTCTTTGTATGATGAATACGATGCTCTGATTTTTAAAAAGAAAACCTGAAGGAAAATTAAAGTCATCAGATAGAACTCAAACTGAAAATGTAAAGCAAACCGCAGACCTGATTAATCTAAAGTACTTTCCCTGTCAATGCCCACATTAACATTTCATTCTTAACAGCTAAATTAAAGAGCTCGCCTGACTAATAAAATAGCTTTAAAAATTATATTTAAAACTCACACACTAAAATCAGCACAAGGGACTGAATCTACACAACTCACTACTTACAAAGTTTCCAAAAAATACTTTTCCTCCCTAAAACATTCTTTGCAAAGGAAGATGAATCTTTTGAAAACTCTCCCCACTCCCTAAAGCCTGTGAAGTGTTTACATGTTCTCATCTAAGTGGATGACCCATGTTCGCTGGTAACTGGTTTGTATGGCCAAACACTTGACAATGCAGCCCAGGGGTAGGTGACCATTACATGCTATAAACCTGAACAAAACTGATCAGATGAGCTCAATTAAAGATATATCTTATGCAAAGTGACTTCATTTGGCTACATTTTTGGGGAAGACAAGGGGTAAAGGAATTACACACTGATCAGCTTTGTAGTTCCCAGAAAATTCAAAAATTTAACAAAAACAACTGACCTTGAGTAAACACACACTTAGATAATACACCACAGCTACCAGCATAATATGGCCTTAATATGTTCATCCAGATTCACAAAGGACAAAATAAATCCCCATCAATAAAGGATTAAAATTGCAGCAGATCAATTCCTGTCAACTTTAGCAAATATCAATCAACACATTGCCAAAAACAATTTAAAAAATCCTTTTTGACAGGGCATGCATCCCCAATTCCACTGTTAAAGCACTTCCTCTGATTCTACCTTTGAGCAAAGATAATGCCTAATCTGGTCAGACAAAAATTTATCTTGATTCCTGTCACAACTTCAAGGAAGAAAATACAGGGGACACTTGACTCACTTCTATTTATCAATTTTGTGAAAACTCTAGCTCTAGTTCTTATGATTTATAGAATTAGAACACATCAGTCAGCCAGGAAATACTTTGTAAAAATTGTACAGTCTTTTATAAAAGTAATGAAAGACTATGTAAAAATTGTAAAAGAAATCCAGAAAGCTTCCAATTTTTTATACCAACTAGAAGAACCATCAAGGTAGCATAACCATATGCTACCATAAAGATAATAATTTTTTAAAGTAAGTAAAACTCTTGTAGGGGGCACTCCACAGACTCTTAAAGTATTGTTAAAACACTGTAAAGAGAAAACCGTTTGTTTTAAAATTTGTATCACTACTAAAGAAAATATTCTGCTTACATTTTATAGCGAGATATGTAATTAAAAAAAACAGATGAAGACCCAGAATATTTTAGTCCAAATATGAAGTCCCCATCTTTAGTCAAGTTCTTGGAATTTCAGTCATAAATTGCAATTAAGAGTATGATTTCACCCACAGGAAATCAGTATTTTTATATCCACCTATTTTAAGGGTAATTTTCACAATTAAATCTGTATTAGTTAATTTGTATGCAATTTAAGAACGTCTGTCCAAGCAAACCCAATATGTCATAAATATGCTTAAATTAGCACCCCAGGAGTGTAGGTCAGATTGTGGCACCAGTGAAGTTTCTGCAGTTCATCAGGAATCTCTCTTTAAAGACTCCTGATAAGGTGCCATCATTTTCCCACATTTGGCATGCAATGTATCTGAAATCCATCTTCAACTAACACACATTGATTTTTATGACAAAGGTTACATGGCTAATGTCATCCAAAAATTGACACATCTGTAATTCAAATTGCAACACTAAGGATCTTTAACAATCCATTACCATTCATACTGTCACAAACCCTAAAGCTGCCTCTTCCCTCATTCAAAGAAGAATAACCTTTGTCACTCTCTAGAATGTGCCAAAATGTGCCCCAGAGCTGCCGACGTCAGCATTTTTCCCTTCACAACTATTCTGAAGTGAGGATGATTAGCCCTGAAGTCCTGCATGTCTCCTGCTAAACACTTGGTTTGGGCTCAGATGGCCTTACTCCATACATCAGCTATTAATTACAGAATCAGTAATGCTTAGCAGAGGATGCCTGACTGATTACTATCCAAGTATTTATTTTTATATCTGTCCTTATCCAAAAATACTAAATGGGTCAAAATTTATTTCAGCTGGAAACCTAATTTTACTTTATCATTGGCTTAAACTGGAGTAAAATCAAGCCCTGAAGCACAATAGCATTTTTTTTCAATCTGCCTTGCTCACAAATCCTCCTGGAGATAAATAACATTCGAACCAAGAAAAATTTAAAAGCCCTAAAAAATCTTGGCATACTTTACATCTTACAAATATTAAATGTATGAATTGAGCTGAGATGCAAACAGAAGGGAAAATATGAAAGTAACACAGAAATAGATTTACTTCTAAATCAGCATTAAATTTCTCTTCTTCTTTTAAACTTGCAACAATCTTTTAAATATTTTTTAAATTAGAATAATTGACACAATTTAAATAACATGATATTTTCAGAAAACCTATTTAATTAAAAAGCATTTATTAATATTTTTATTTTAAACCAAAATGGACTTTGAATTGAGATTTCAAATGAATTATTAATTATTTCAAGGTCCACTGGGTCCTATTCTTTTCCCCTCCAAGAAGGTTGAATTTTCCTCTATATAAAATACCAAGCCATGAGTCAAATTTGACTAGATATAGCCAGGTTCTGTGAAAAAGGAGAAAATTTGAAAGCAATAATAAAATAAAAATATCCCCAGCCCTATAAAAAGTCCAGTCTAGCCTTCTTTTATCCCAGAAGCTCAAAAGAACATATGTACTATAGAGAACTGCGAAGTATATGTATCACCATTTTTTTTCCTCATCAAAGGATCAAAATTCAAGAAAAAAAATCCACATAAAATGAGCAACAAATGCCTCAGAACTGTTATACCTGCAGAAGACAAATACTTCATGTCAAGCTCACATTCCATTTCTAAAAAGAGTTTCTCATTTTCACTAACTTACATCCACCAATTGAGCAATTATGCAATATGTGGGTGTACCTTGCAGTAGTTTTTTTTTTAACATCTGCATTCTGTGTTAAATTCTAACTGTACAAGATGTCTGATAATTTTTCTTTATCTTGAACCTTCAAAGTGGTAGGTTTACCAGAGGCAAAACCACACATCAGAGAATATGAGTCATATAACAAAGAAATGACTCTTCCCCTTCTCCCCCTTGCACCCTGAAGCTATAATAACCTAAAGACACTCTATTGTAAATGGCTTCTTTGGCAGTATTGATAGCATGTACAACTCACAATCATTTAGCCAACAAATGAAGATATTTTTAAGTCCTTACTGTATCCATAACAAATTGCTTTCAGTACCATTTTAAGGCAAATTAAAACGGTGCTATAGCAAAAATAAAATTCAGAATGTCTATGCACTTGCTTTCTTGTCATGCATAAAACATGAAACATTCTCTGCATGTACCTATAAATAATAACATAAAAAGATAAAAATAATGTACGATGCCTATGCAAGTTAATCTGAAAAGTATCTCTCATTTGTATACAAAAGATCAGCCTCCATGCAAAGTCCCACATTGATTCCATATCAAATTAAAGCAACATTTACATACAAGCAAACCACTGCTCATGCCAACTACAATACATGAGGAAGCAAAGCACCTCACTTGACCACTGCTTACGCAGGTTTCCACTCTGAAGTGCAGTAAATATGGGAAACAACACTGAGGCCATTCCAGCCTTTTATTTCCTCTTATATCCTTTTCTGCAGGTAGACAGTAACTCCTCAGGTTAACATCCTGCATCTAATTCCACGTAGGAAATCAGCTTTCAACAAAGTCTTATTTGATGTGTCAATATGTAAGATTGCATCAGAAAATCTGAAGAGAGCTAAATGCAGAAACAGCATTTAGAACCATTAGCAAATAAATCCTTAACAACAAAACCCCGCACCACTAAAACAGGTGCAACCACCACAGCTTTGTAAGAAAGTTAACAGAGGTGATGCTGGCATAAGATCTTTCTATGACCATCTTCCAAAAAGTAAATAACCCCAATGTTTCAGGAAATCCACGTGAAGCAACATATTCCCCCTCAAAGCAGAATAAATCAGTGGTTTCTGTTCTTACCTGTGTATAGTCAAAGTCAGAAAGAGGAGCTATACTCTTGATGTAGTCCATTCGAAATTGGTTTTCTGGGTTGGCCAATGGAACTGGGGGTATTAAAGTGCTCATAGCTGAAACTATAGTCTAGAATTGGATAAAACAAAAAAAACACATTAATCTGGATACAGGATCAATAGAAGATAATCCAATCTGATCAGCAAAATGGGATTTCTCTCATCACAATCTTGGAAAGCATAATCCTTATAATTTTCAGTACAAACAAGCATGGAAGAACAGTATAAAGTGTGTTCTTACCACAATCGCATCTTTAACGTTTTTCCGAATATCCAGTATTTTCTGTTTCTTTTCTCTGCATTAAAACAGAAATATTAACACTTTGATTTTTTTTCTTCCAAAGCAGTTCAGCCACTTGCATTTAATTTTTTTTCACTGATCACTTGTTTATCTGCTCTTCAAACATTAAAACATACTATAGTAAAAAAAACAGGCAAGACAAATACATTTTGCCCTTATCCATTTTTTTGCGTAATATAAAGAGCAATGCACATTCATCCCTAATATATTTTTCTAAATCATTCAATCACAGCCACATCTGCAAAGCTTCCCCTGATGGAAGTCATTCTTTCATTTCCACAGCATGATGTAAACATGCTCTAAATGAACAACACGTAGGTGAAGGCCAACACATATCTAAAATGAATGCTATGGATTAATAATGATTTCTGGCAAAGAGTTCTTTAGAGAGAAACTGATGTATCCTCACAAAACAGGAGGATTTCTAACAAATAGGCAAAATTAGTTTCAGTTTTACGCTAACCCCAGCACCGGAAAAACAGCACACAGTGTCATCTGATTATGATTTGACATGTATTTTTATATTACAGACAGATGCAATATTTGGTTATTTGCTTCTATGTAAAAAGTAGTCGCCATGTTGTTGCTACACAGGGGCCTATCAAGCGCTGCAGTAGCAACAGTGTAAAATACAGTAAAGGGGCCAGAAGGAGAAAATGCAAACATACAATAGCAGCAATTTCCTTATTCTCACTCCCCTCCCTCCCGCAAAACACAGTGTCAAGCCACCAAAACACAGGGGATGAGAGGAGAAATTTCCTAGCGTACTGTGTGTTAACCTGTTTCCAACATTTAAGGAGAAATAAGTCACAAAGTGTCAATAATTCTTACTCTGAGTTAAATCCATTGACATGTAGGATTCGCATTTGTTTCACAATAGTGCTTTTTCCTGACTCACCAGCCCCTAAAAGAGAAAGAAGGAAAGGGAGAACATTGTGATACACGGTTCAGGCTGGGTGGTCGGAGAGTTTTTTTGGTTTTTTTGTTTTTTTTTTTTTTTTTTTTTTGAGGGTTTTTTTTTTTACGCGACAGCATCTCCCACCTCGGCAGCATTTCTGTATGTGTGCATCCATGTGGCTCAGGCGCTGAGCTCGATCTGTGGACGCCTCGCTTATTGCTCAATACAGCAGCCTGCATTTTCCATAGCCACGGCGCACGCCGCATCTCCCCTCTCGGCTGCGCCCGCCGCCCCGGCGGGCTGGGGCTGCTGCCCCCTCCTCGCCCTGCTCGCCCCGGCCCCCACCTCTGCCGCTTCCTCCTTACCCAGCAGCAGCAAGCGGTGTGTCGCTTTATAAGCCAGCCTCTCTTTCTGCAACTGCTTCTCTATTTTTTTGTTGGCTTCTCGCTGCGCTTTCTCATCGATACGCTGATCCTCCGTTTTGCTGTTGCCCAAACACCCCATAGCCGCTGCTCAGGGTGGATGTCAAATCGCTGCCTTCTCAGATTTAGTATTTACAAGGGGAGGGGAGTGGGGCGGGGGGAGGCAGAAGACAAGTCTGTATATCCGTGTGTGTCCCTGCGACGGTTTCTCTCCGCTTCTTCCCACCCGGCTGGCTCACATAAAATGGTCTCTGGCCGCTTTCCGATCGCAGCGGAGTTGGCTGCTTCGCTCCCCACCAGAGATGCGGAGAGCAGGCGGCAGAGGTAACCCTGCCCCGGCGGGGAGGGGGTGGGGGGAGAAAGCTGTGCAAAAATGCCTAACATGCAACGAGAGGGAGAAAAGGGCTCCTCCTGGAAACCAGCCGGGTGCCGCTCTCCGCTCTCCCTCCCCACCGCGCACACAATCCCTATATTTCTCTGTAAAGGTCTATTTTTGTCTTCCTAACTCAGCACTGCCTCTTTCTGCGAGACCAGGAAACGGCCCCGCTACCAGCCCTACGCGCAGGGAAGCCGAAGGAGAAAGGTAAAAGCCGGACGGATCTACCTGGATCCTGCGGGGCCGGGGCCAGGCGGCGCCGCGGGCTCCGAGCCCCCCGCCCNNNTGCCGCCAAAACCCGGAGCTGGCACCGCCGCCGCGGGAGCTGCGGCCTCCGGACCCCCGCCCGCGGCCTGCCGCAGGGGCAGGGAGCTGCGGGACGCGGCGCTCGGGGACCCGGGGGGGCTTTTCCCGACCTTTCCCCGCGTTCCTCGGCGGTACTGGAAGAGCCTGGCTGCTGCCAGCGCGAGGGTTGGCACTCCCGGGTGCCCAGGCTGGCACAGGTGATGGCTGCCATCGTGACTGACCTGCGGGAGCAGCGCCGGGAGCCAGTCCCTGGCACCAGCGTGTGGGAGCGGCCGGGGTCTGCCCGCGTGAACCCCGACACACAGAGCACGCCTATGCACAAACACCCTGCCTCGACTTCTTAACCCAGAAAATGTCCCTTTCCACACAAGCAGTCACGGCAGCACATGGGCTGTTTTTTCCCTTTGAATATTCCAAACTGCATCTGCTGAACCAGAAAATGAAGCTATCCAAACAGCTCATGATAATGTTCAATCCGAACATGATAATATGCATGTCTAATATCACTACAACAACAAATGTCGACAAGAAACCGTATCTCCGTTCCTTCATTTGCCTCCATTTTAGATCCTGAAATGAAACTTCAAGCTAGACAACCCTATAGGTATTCCTTTTTGCTTCAAATCTCCTGCCTTGCAAACTGGCACCTCAGTGCAAAAACAGCAGTACAGCACCTGGCTCGTCCTAAACTCCCCCTGCACAGAAACCACCTGCACTGCTCAGATGTGATGCTGGACACATTGAGACACAAGAACACTAGAAAAAGAACGGATGTTACTCTGCAGTCCCCAAATACTTTCAGCTTTTATCTCCAAATAGTCCCCCATACTTTCAAAGATGGCTTACTGAAAAATTAATATTTTGATAGATACATACGTGTTCAAAATCCTGGTCCCAACTAAAATCAAAGAGAGATTGCCATCAACTTCAATCAAACAAAACAGTATTTTAATCTAAAATGTCTTGAAAAGTATGTAGCAAAAAGAAACTAGATTTTACAAGCAGAAGGATTTAGTTTAGTTGTTTTTTGTTTTTTTTTCAATGGCTCCCTCACTCAGGTGGGAAATGCTGAATCAAGGAAGAGAAACTGGTACTGTCCAATTTGAGGACACATCAGAGGAAGGTGAAAAGGGCAGGACCCAGAAAATGAACAGGTACTGCTCCACCTGCAGTTGGGTATGCGGAGTTTTCAGGAGACCATGAAATTCAAATGCCAGATATGTGGTTTTATGGTACTGCTTGATCTTGACTCTGGAAGCTGATTTCATCTTCCCTCTTACATAGGTGGGGGGGAGCTGGGGTAACACACTACAGGATTGACAGCATCTGCCAAGTCAAAATATGCATTTTTAAAGTGTTACTAAGCTGCATTTTTTTAGGACAGACAACTTTTTTTTCCTATTGACATTTTTCTGTCTGGAGAGACAAAAAGCACCTCAGATACAGATAGGTTTGGAAGCACAGTTCAGGGTGACTGCTGTTTTTGGAGGCTGTCAGACACAGGATATATGATGAATAGCTTTTGTGAAGAGCAGTCATGTTTGCTCCCTGCCACAGCACTATGAGAGCCCATAACTGAATGGCTTGGTTAGAAATCACTAACTGGGTCTGAATTTTCATAGTCCTTCAGTGACAGAAGCTGTAATTTATGATGCACAAGATGTGTGTAGCCATATTCATTACCTGTGTAAATACCTCAGTTTGAGACCTAAGTCCCAAACGTGGCTAGTGTCAGTCAGTCTGCAGGAATCTGCCTTGTTTCTTCCCCTCCTCTCCCCAGCAGTTTTCCTCTTTTATCTACTAACACTGGGATTCTTGGTGCACACTTGTTCCCAGCTTTGTAACGGCTCAGTGCCAATAAACAGAATTTTACAGGATCCTGGTATATCCTGCTTTTACCTTTCTCCAAAAGAGGGAAAGTGTTTCTCATTTCCTCTCTCCCCCTCGAAAAACCCCATGACCCTTTTGGGTCTCTTCCTCCTGAGAAAAGATCACACAGTTCAAGAATGATATGCACAAGCAACCTGTGCCCAGAAAGAACTTTTAGCTGTAATTATATTCCCAACCCTCCCTTTGCTCTTCCCAAACACAGTACTTATCCCAACATAAGTGAATTACAAAATCCTAGAAGCAATAATAAACAACAGAGAAATTTTCACCCCCTTTGGACACAGTTTTTTTTTTTTTTTTTTTTTTTTTCCAGAGAGAAACCATAGCTATCATATATGAATATGTCTCCTCTGCACACAGGTAAATCTAAAACTCTATAAAACGTTGCAGCATGCTGCTTCACCAAACCAACTTCCAGTACAAATTTTACACAGGAATAAAAACAAAATCCTAGACAAAGGAAAGAAGACTCTTCCTGGTCTTCCCCTCTCTTCTGAGGCAATCAGTGTGGGATCCTCTTTGAGTTCCTGAAGGATGAGTTATTTCACATTGCTTCTGCCCCTTCATATCAGGCAACATATGTATACATACATATATTTATATATGCACATTTATATATGCACATATTTATAAATATAAGTACACATGGAGTGAATATGTGTGTGAAAAAACGAGATTTGCCTTCTACTTTTGTGCTAAATTTGGTGCTATCCCATCATAAAACCAGGTAATACAGCATAAGCCCTCCTGGAGGGAAACTGGAGACACCTTTACCTCCTGCTTTCCTCTTTGAGTTCCCACCTCAGGATGCAGTGTTTGTGAGCCTCAGGCTGAATGCTGGGGAGCACAAGCTGCTTGCATGAGGCCACGTTTGTATTCTTGTATGGAGGAGGATTGACAACCCAACTGAAGCCACACTGGGTAGCCCCCCCTGCCACAAAGTCAGTCTTGTTTCTTGTGCCTGTTCTGCTTGGAGTAAGAAGGGACAAAACCCCAGTAAGAATTAATGTGGAGCTCCTACAGATGCAGCTAGAGACCTGCTCTGGTTGCCCCTCCAATCCAGAACAGGACTGATGCAGAGCTTTTTCTTGCAAACACTAGGTAAAAGTGGAGAAAGTTTCTGTACACCAACCCTGCAGATCATTTAAAGCCCATCTTCCCTTTACACAGCCTCCTTTGCAGCTTTGGTTCCATTTTTAAAAAAAAGAGCAAATGGAAAGATGGAGGTAATCGAAAGCATAGGAGGGACCTAAGCCACCGGTAAAGAGATTTTTCTGCCTTGTCAGTCTTCCTGCCCCAACTTTCACAGGGATCTCTGAACTCTCTGCTGACACTGTCCTCAAGCATGGGCACTGTACTAGGTGAGTAACACTGGTGCCCTGATCTCTGCTTCTCCTCACTGACCTCTCATTTTCATGTAGCTTTTCTGCTGCAACTCACGAGTGGCTGAGTTTTTACTCCACCTCAGCATCAAACTCGGGAGGAAAAAAAAGAGAAAAATTAATTGTAACTGCATAGGCATGCAAGCAAAATAATTCTTTCTCTCTAGTAATAAATTACTGGTAAGTTTCTCTCTCTGTAGATGTCAAATATTAACACAAAAGTACACACTGCATGGAAGGCTACATTTGGAGTTTTATACGATATGTGAACCAGGAACCAAAAAAAATTATGACTCTAACCATGTTAAAAATACTGACTAGGGGTTTAGGAAAAAACCTACACGTACTTTGCAGAGAAGTGAATATCACGCTCAAAACCAAATCTAACCTTTATTCTTTCATTTAAACCCATGACCTCAAAAAAGTCATTACAATTTTTTGAGAGGGGCTCATCTGTTTTAAGAAGCAGGATGGGAGACATGCCAGAAAAGATGAGGTATGCATTTACACAGTGACTGTGGACCTGATCCCGAATTGCCTTCATGTCCATTGATTAAGGACAAATTCACTGATGCAGAAGAGGGTCAGGCAATGCTGAAGGGCCTGGCAAAGCTCTGAGTAGGTCCTTGG